TATATACACACACACACACACTCCTTGTTTATCCATATGTGTGTGTGTGTGTGTGTGTGTGTATATAAAAACTCTATGGTGCCACAGGACGACTCCTTGTTTTTAAAGTTATAGACTAACACAGCTGAGACAACCCCTCTGAGACTCTTAATGATTAGATACTAGTAACAATTAAACCACTTTGTCACATGGGGGCAGCACTAAACAATGTATTTTGGCCTAGGGATTGAACATTTAAAACATTTCTGAATGCTAATACATATTGCATCATTTGATTTCTTAAAACAATAGAAAGCTTTCACACGATTTCAAAACAAAATAAAAAAATGCATAGATTGCCAAAGACAAAAGTTGAAAAGAAGCCAAGAGGTAATATATAGGGACTTTGCACACTTCTTAAATGAATCTTTAGTTCAATTTTGTTTTGGAGATAAATCTGGTAAAAGGGAAGGGGTGTTATCTGAAGGCAAGTTTTTAACTACATTAATGCTTCCTATTGTATTCTATAGAAAAAAACTGTAATTAGCACATAGAGAATTTGCAGGTAGGAGAAAGTGAGAAGTTAATGTCTCATTAAGTTCTCAGAGTCCCCATACCATAAATTTTACTAATCCATATAGATAATATCATTTATGCTGAATGCTTCAAACATTGTTTATTGTGTTATATGGGGTTTCTGGGAGGCACTCTTAATATAGCTGTAAAGTGGCTCAGGGAAGTTCATAGAAGGAAGCAATGAAACTTTCAGATTTGCTGTTGGAATTATGGCTGAGCTTGAGAAGAAAGATCCCCTTGATGCTCCTTGGGTGAAATCTTGGTCCTATTGAAGTCATTGAGAAAACTGCCGTTGACTTTAGTAGGGTCAGGATTTCATTCTCTATAACGCCTCGGCAAAATGTAGTTGTTGTTTGCATTTTAAAAAGTGTTTTTATAAATCTGCCATAGTGGCAGTAATATAGATATTTCCCAGCAATTTGTCAGTTATTGTTTTTTGTTTGTAAATTGTGCCATACATGCTGAGTGATGTTGCTTGGCAATGTTCTGACAATTGAGAGCTCTGGTTGACTAAGCACCCTTCTGCTCTATAATATTATAATTGTATTTTTTAAAGAGTCGCTATTAAAAACCTGTTTCTTTATTCAATATTTTATTTGTTAGTTAATATTTTGGACTTACCATTGTCTTCTGCCTTACTTAACTTTACTATAAAACTGACTGTGCTAATTCTTGGATTTCATAACAGGACTTAACTGAAAGTTGTTTTTGGAATTAATGCTGAAGATACTAGCTAGGACCTCCACCCTACTTGATCAGTAGCTGCAATGTCTGTTTTTCTGGCACAAGGGTATCCTGTGCCTAATATATTCCTTACACGTTCCTCATTTCTTCCTTTGTTGAAAGCATTTTCCCCTATTCTGCCACCATAGAGCTATAAGTAGTAGCATTTTTCCTGATGTGTCATTCATCTTACCTTGTTCCTTTCAATAAACATTTTCATCTTATGTTCTCAAACTCTACATTTTAATTAATCTGTCTGCTGTGTGTTTCATTATATGTCCATACAGTGATCTGCTTCTGTTCTGCTCAAAGTGAGGGAGAGTTGACATTGATTTAACGGGAAATCTGTCCATTTCTAGATTTCTTTGTCTTTTAAAAGTAATTGATGTATAGTTATGATTTACATGCATCTTTGTTCTGTTTTTTTTAAGTGCTTTGCTGTGCGCTCTTTGGGATGGGTGGAAATGGCAGAAGAAGATCTTGCTCCTGGAAAAAGCAGTGTGGCTGTGAACAATTGCATCAGACAGCTATCTTACTGTAAAAATGATATCAGAGACACCGTTGGTATATGGGGAGAGGTAAGCATATAGTGTGAATTTGCCTTACATTGGCCTTTTCCCCCTTTAAATCCACCCATCCCACTCTTTAAGATGCCTTTAACAAGTTAGTTAGTTTTACACCCATGTAAAATTCCAGATTTTAATGTTAAAAAAATTAAATACCCTAATTTTCTATGTATTCTTTAATAGAAAAATAATTAAAGAAGCAGACACAGATTGAGACAGGTGTATCAGCAGCTGGTACTGCCGAAAAGGAGCAGAAAATTTGAACATGAACTTGATTTTTTGTTTCTGGAAGTTTAGGAGAGTAGATATTACAAAGGCCATGATCCAATTGTTGTATCTGCATTTTATGTTATACGTTGCGTGACAAGTCCAATACAGGTTGGACCTTCCTGGTCTAGCACCCTCGAGATCTGACTGGTCCCGAATGAGGGATTTTTCCAGGCCAGGGAAGTCCCCTGCTGCCAGCCCTCTCCTGCTGGCCCTCATCCACCGGGCTTCCTGGCTCCCCCTGTAGCCCAGCTGAGCTGATCACCAGCTCCCTGCCCCACTTCACAGCCCAGCTGAGACACAAACCAGCTCCCGTCCCTGCCTCCCCAGAACCCAGCTA